CGACGACACCGCCGGCGTTAGGCAGGTGGTCACCGGCGATGTGCGCGTGAGTGGGAGAGAGGGTTGGGAGTTGTGTTGAGAGTGTCGGTTTGAGAGAAAGATGAGAGAGATAGGTGGATTGTTATTATGATTGGTGGGACCCACATGAGATAGTGGATGGATGTAAAATAACTAGAATGTCCTTACTAAGTGGGTGAATTTAAACATTTGACCACATCATGTCACTTATTTACGGGATTGCCATTGACAGTTTTATCATTATTTAATAAATTTGATTAGTTAATGACCATTGATATGTTGGATCCATTGGTTCAGAATCATTCTTATTTCTTTCACTATCTATCATTCTCATATGATCCCTTCTATATATATATATATAAAATTGCTAGCAAAGTAATTAATAAAATCTCAACAATTTTTCTTCCAAAATAAGTTACAATTCTATTTTTTTTTTTTTCTAAGAGGGACAAAGAATCTAATGTAAAAAGTTCTTGGTTCCCACTCTTTTTTTTAGGGCAATTATGTCAAAAACCGTTATATTTTATATTAAACAAATAATAATTATAGATATTTTTAATTATTTTATTATACAATAGTTATTATTGAAACTAAGTAAGTATATTTTACAATGAAAGTAAAAATAAAATAAAATTATATAGTAAATTTGTTTTTTTTAATATTGTAGTTTTATTATCTTATTAAGTGGTTTTTTTTAAGTAAAAACTAGTGCGTAGCCCGTGCGATGCACGGGTAAACAATATTAATAATAATTATAAATTAAAGATAAGGGTAACCAATATGTAGATTTAACATGTGACATAATTTATCGCATACAATTGTAAACAATATAAAATTATTTTGTAGAGCTAATAATAGTTATACACACATGTTTCATTTTTTGTGAATATCCGTATATTTTTAATCATATTCTCATTGCTTATTTTGATTGTTAACATCTATAAATAATATTAGAAGATATAGATGCCATAGGTTCTCAATAGCCACACAAACTAGATTTGTTATGTGTTAGAATTCTTTTAGTATATTAGAAAAAAATAAAATAAAATCATACTTTATAGAAAAAATAATTCTATAAGCAGACACAAATTATTTAAAGATCTAATAATATACGTGTCATCTAAATTAATCAATTTAGTTACCAAAAAATAAAGATTCAAATAGATTGAAATATTAGATTTTTTGGAACAAAATAAGAGACGAAAATTGGAGTTGTTGCAAAAATTGCATTATTTCGAATAAAAAATGCAACCAAATTTTTTGATATGAAATAAGAGACGGGATTTTGAAGTTGTATGCAATAGGATTAAACAAAAGCCACAATTTTAGGCTGCATTTAATGCTGGTTATATAATAAAGAAAAAAAAATCCAAAAATGACATGCATTAAATGTTGGTTTACTTTTTTTGTTACTTTTTTGGTAAATAAGTTGACTTTTTATATAGAAATAGATTTAAAAAAATTTCAAAAACAGTCAAAAATAGAATGCAATAAATGCTGGTTGACTTTTCTTGTTACTATTTTTAGTAATATGTTGTCTCTTTATATAGATATAGATAGATAGATTTGTGTTAATGGTATAACAGTAAAATAGTAAATCTAATATATTTTTTCAACTGATTAATTAATCATGTCCCTCTAAATTATAAAAATTACATTATTCAAATAGTTATGTACTTTTTATTTTTATTAATTTTCAAATTTTCAAATTGTATTACCATTATATAAGTTATAATTTAATATTATATGCATATGTATCTTATAGAACTTTATTTACGTTCTTGTGTTAGGCGGGTGTATTCAATTTGAACTTTTAGAGACTTTTAGAATTCTGATGTATTCAATTAGAACTTTTAAAGACTTCTGAAAAGTTTACATTTATTCAATTGAGACTTTTAGAGCATGATTGGATACAAATTCAATCCAAATTTTTTTTTTTCAGTTTTAACTCAACCACTTTTTTTCAACTCAACTTTAACTCAACTCACTATCATCAATATTATCAATATAATTAAATAATATCAATCAATCATTCTTACACACAACATCAACCTTAATTCACATTCATCTACTCACATAAATTTAACTAACTGTCACATCACATCTTCTCTCTCTTACTTTTACATCAATTTAATTTTAATTATTTTATTTTAAATATTATTTTATTATATCCACTAACAACTAACCATACCTACTTTTTCAAATTTAACCAACCCAAATCAAAAATCCAATCAAAACAAAAACAACTTTATATCCAAGCATGCTTAATGACTTTTAGTAAGTCTTTAAAAGTCTCAGGGTATTCAATAAAACATTCTGAGAGTCTTTATAAGTCACCCGATATTCAAAACAGAAAGACTTTGTGAGACTTTTTAAATTTCGAGACTTTTTGAGACTTTTGTAACAAAATTACAAAGGAAAAGTCTCAACAGAAATCTCATCAATATTGGTGAGATTTTGCTGGACTTGTGTGACTCTTTTCACGCTTTCTTTATTTTTTTTTTCTTTCTAACACGTCTTTGCATCTCATATCATTTTCATGCTCTATTATTTTACTTATTTATTTTGATACCTTGTGTAATTTTTATTTTCATTACGTATATTAATGTGATCTTTTTATTTTATATATTCTTTATTATGCTTATTTATATGTGTATACCTTTATTCTCTCATTTTTGCTATCTTGTGAATTTGACTTTTCAAAGGTTAATGCTTCCATAGTTGCACTTGCAAATCATTTATTTATTCTTTCTTTTTGTTTGTAAATGTTCATTTCAAAATATTAAAAAAAAAATATTTTCAAATAGTTTATCTGTTAACATTAAAATGTTTTGAATATTATTGATAATTTTATAAGACACAATTACTGTTTTTCGGCAATGTTTGTATCTTGTAAAAATATATCCTAATAGTATTTTTCTAATATAACAACATTATGCAAAAAAAAAAATATAAAAAATAAAATCAGTCAATAATTAGATAAATATATGTTAATTTGGGTTGATTATAAGTGTAAGTATAGCAAAGATCTCAAACACATATTTGAGCTTGTACTCTTTTGACAAACAAAAATAAGGCCCTGCTCGATTTGACTAGTTGAAGCTCGGATCGATTTACTCGTTTAATAAATCTAAAATCCTAAATAATTTGTTCGTGAATAACTCATTCGCATAAAAATGAGTTTATTCATAAATTTTTAGAGGATTAATATATACAACATATTTTTTTCATTTATTCTTGTTTATATTAGTTATTATGTCACGTTTATTAATATTTTATTCAAACATAATATTATAACTGCAAGTATATGAAAGTCCCAATAAGTTTTAAAAAGTCTATTATGAAAGTCTTAAAAAGTCATTAATGAAAATTCTCTGAAAGTCTCAAAAAGTCTATCAAAGTCATGGAAGTTCTATAGAGGCCACAAAAGTCATCAAATTTAAAAAGTTTTAAAAAGTCCTTAAAAATTTCAATTGAATACACCCTCCTTAGTGTTTTTTTTTTAGTTGTGTCGTTTATTCTTCTCTTGGGAGTTGTATTATCCTTTTGGAAGCTCGTGGGTGCGTTGTACGTATTAGGCTAGACGGCCTTTTGAGTTGTTCTTCGAAGGGTTTCTACTGTGTAGCTGCTTATTCCGATTGTTATCGATTGTAATTCGTTTGGGGTTATGTGTAATATTTATGAAATTATCCCATTTGAAAAAAAAAAAAACGAAAGAAGTAATTTTCTCCACAAATATATCCATTTCAAAATGGGGGAAAAAAAGGGGTTTTTGAGCTATTGTTTTAAAAGACGATAAAAAGCGAAACAAACACAAGATGAAGCAACAACGGGATTAAACCAAGAAAAGAGTGTGGGGCCCGTCCCAATAGGCTGTTAGGAGGGTCCACCAAGTCATAAATTATTACGGCAATAAAACGCGGAGGTTTAATAATATAATAATAGATATTAAAAAAAAAACGAACTATGAATAGTGTTGGAGTAGCTGTGATGGTTTTCGCCTTTCTGGCAAAACCAAACACTGCCCGTGCAAAGGCCGCTTTCTCTCTCTAGACAGAGCTTCTTCAGGTCACGGCTCTCACAATTTCTCCCTCTTCTTCTTCTTCTGCTGCTGCTGCTTCTCATTTGATCTCTGCCTTTTTCTCAGCCATCTCTGTACAAGTCCCCGCACCTCTTTTTTCTCTCCTCAATTTGTTCTTGTAAAAAAAAAGATCGATTTTTGGCTGTTTTCGTGCTCGCATTCACTGGATCTGAGACTGTTTATTTGGTGGGTTTTCTGGAATTTTCCTTCATTTAATCTTTCTGGTTATGACGGAACAACGCTGTGGTTATGTTCTTCACTTTTTTGTGCAAAATGGGGTTTTGCAATTACGTTGTCTTTGTACAATTTTGAATCTATGAATGTTTTCGTGATTAGGGTTTTTGGAAGCAGTGTGTCAAATTGGTGTTTTTCTAATGTGTAAGTAGACAGACTCCTTTTTTAGGTCTTTGTTCCCTGGCGCCTCTTTCATGAACTTTTAGCTCGGTTTGAATATTTGACCTTGTCCTTTTCTTCTCAATTTTGCTTCAAATTTATGATGTTATATCCAAGAATAATTATGTGATGTATTCGTTTTCATTTGTTCTTCTCTGTGGATTCTTTTACAGTTATTGAATTTTGAGATCCATAAAATTTCTGAGCTTTATATCTTTTTCTTATTTTCTTCTCTTGTAGGCATTTTTGTCCGCTGATTATATGAATATTTCCACAGATGCACTCAATTTTCTCCACAGGGCCATCATTTTCAAACTCCACCAGCTAGCTGGAGCCTTTTGACCTCGACTAACAGAGATTTCATGAATGCACATATAAGCAGAAGAAGCCAAATTCTTTGACTTTTGAATTTATTTTCTTTTCCACTTGGGAGGAAGGACTTCATCTTACAATCAAGGAAATAACCCCAAGATCCCAACACATACTTTCCGAGAACTAAACTTTCGGTATGGCTGTTGCCAAGAGCAACAGCTATATCGTAGCACCATCCTGTCTTTGCACCTGCTATAAAGTTTCGGACTTGAGAGAAACCATTCTAAACCCCAACAAAACTGCCCGTCTTAGTGATCGGTATATCCTCAGAGAACAATTGGGTTGGGGACAATTTGGCGTCATAAAAGAATGTGTGGACAGATTTAGCGGCGAACTTTTAGCTTGCAAATCCATTTCAAAAGACAGATTAGTCACTCGGGAAGACATTAAAAGCATAAAGCTCGAGATTGAGATCATGACTGAATTATCGGGCCATCCTAATGTTGTTGACCTAAAAGCAGTGTATGAGGAGGAGGATTACGTGCATCTGGTGATGGAGCTTTGTGCAGGGGGCGAACTTTTTCACAAGCTGGAAAAGCATGGGAGGTTTTCTGAGCTGGAAGCCCAGGTGATCTTCAGGCACTTGATGCAAGTGGTGCTGTATTGTCATGACAAGGGCATTGTCCATCGGGATTTGAAGCCCGAGAATATCCTCTTGGCCACGAAATCGTCTTGTTCGCCAATAAAGTTAGCGGATTTTGGTCTGGCTACCTATATCAGTCCCGGTAAGATATTATGTCTCCTTGTTGTCTTTGATAGTTGAGAGAGATAATTGCAAAAAGCACCTGAGGCTTGCGTTACTACAAACTTTTCGGTACTTCATTGATATTTTTTGTGCTTTTAGAGAGGAAATAGGTTAATTACCCCTAAGCTTTTTGGTGTTTTACAGAAAGTAGTTAGCAACGAAAGTTATGAAATTTACGGTTTTGGTTTGACTTCATTTTACATTCTGCCCGTCATTAGTTAACCCGACTGGATTCTCTGGCGGCTCGATGTAATTGACCTTATCTTTGTTGTTGTAATCAAGTATATTTCATTTACACCACTAGATTTTTCTCCCTGCAAATAGCTCCAACTTGATGAATAAGCAAACTTCAGGGATTTAACTGTACAATAATTTGGTCTCTCCTAAAGTTTCCTATAGGTCCAATAATAGCTGGTGCAATGTAAGACATCTGACCTGTAGGGTGGCTTTTGATATTCGAAGTTACCCAATTATTTATTTATTTTAAATTTTTTCTCAATTTCTTTTTTCTTTTGTGATTTGGCTTCACATTATTGCCGTGTTTCTAGTTAGCCCTTTCTAGAACAAATATTTCTTAATTATTTCGTAATAGTTTGTTTTTCGGTTGAACAGGACAGAGCTTACATGGGACGGTTGGCAGTCCATTTTACATAGCTCCTGAGGTTCTTGCTGGAGGGTACAATCAGTCTGCAGATGTTTGGAGTGCGGGTGTTATACTCTACATTCTTCTGAGCGGGATTCCACCGTTTTGGGGAAAGACCAAATCACAAATATTTGATGCCGTTCGAGCCTCAGATTTGAGGTTTCCATCTAAACCGTGGGATTTTATTTCGGATTCAGCAAAGGATTTGATAAAAGGGATGCTTTGCAAGGATGCTTCTAGAAGGCTCACGGCCCATGAAGTTCTTGGTAGGTCAATTCGTCCTTTTTCATGGGTGATGCTAGCTGCTTACAGCTTTTGTTTTCAGCTTTGCGTCATTTTTTCCTGTTCTATTGCTATCTGCATTCTGATCTGTTCATAGCTATGGGCTATAGTTTGTGTACATGGATTTAACTACAAAACTGCCCCTCATGCTTTGGTATAACGTCGGAACTTGGAGAGTTTTTCTACTGTTTTTTTGTTTTTCCCAATTTGAGGTTCTTAATTCATCCTTGTATCAATATATGAGTGGTAATGTAGTGCTTTTGTTAATGTGAACTGGGAGGTGTTGGAATGTTTGATATTTATGACAGATGGATATATAAGATGGAATCAAACTTTAAGGGTATTATTAGTAGTTTTGAAACTTCTCTGGGTCTTTTGTAAATACCCAAAACCCAAAGATGGTTCTTGGAATCCCTATGTTTTTTGTGTCTTTATCTTAACTACCATGACAAATCATCAGCATAAAATAATAACTCATAAGACTAAATAAGGCAATTATGCGGATAGTGATGCGCCTGTTCTTATGTATTGCCTCTTTTATTTTCTTCTTTTTTCTATTAGTCGCTGCCGTTAGTAAATTTATTGCCTTCACATCTCTTAGTGTTGGCATAGAATTGCTTAATATGATAGTGCATTCATTCTTTTCTTGGCCAGCCGAATAAAGTTTCAGTTTGCTGCTCATGTGTGTTATCTCGAAAACGATTCTTTATTGAAGGGTCTTGAATACGACAATGTTTACAAAAATATTTTTTTGGTTCCTGAAGATTAATAATAATACCAATATTTCACAGATCACTCTTGGTTGACAAACATACCCTCACTTCTCACTGATGTGCACAAAGGCTGTGAGAGAAATTGCGGGCTCGATTTGTCACAAAATCGTCCATATTCCTTTATGTCCAGGAACCTGGATATAAGTTTCGGGACTGGTTCGGCTTTAGTTTCAGAGAGTAAATCAGATTCGTTCGCATGCAAGTCTTCATTTTCTTCTTTCTTAGCCGCCCCATTGATGCCTTCATTGGGGACCTTTGGATTTTCTTTCCAAAGCAATGCGTCATCGAGTACCCATGAAAATTCCATCCCGGTCATTTCATTGCCGAGCTTTACGTTTGTTGGTGTGGGTGAACGAGAAAATGATGCTTTGCATGCGCCGGTGGATTCATCTGGTGCTCAATTGATTCCTGGAGGTAAATTTTCTGCTTGCCTTTTGTATTCTGAAAATACGTAGGCTGGGATTGGTTGTAAAATAAATGTCATTTTTTATCACATCAGATAAATGTGTTGAGAACATCATGCTATTCACTTATCACACTTTTCCCTCATGAACTTTATCAGTGTAGATTTTAAATAAAAGTTAATCATTACGATACAACTACTATTTATCCACGCATATTTGTAACAAAGTATTTTAATCATTATATTCTCAAATTATCATCCAATCGTACTTTTCGGTATAGTTTTTCTTCGCAAATCTATATTTACAGTTTCTCTGTGAGATATTTTTCTCAACAAAAGACAATGCAGGCAAAACAACACTTTTACAGAGCTTATATAAACTCCAAATATATAACATGCTTTGATGAGCTTATAAGTTACCAATTTTACTACAAAAACACTCTTGTTCTAGCCTTTATCTGTGACTTTCTTAATTATTGTTGTTCATATTACGCGAGTTACGCCCTCATAAATGCAATTATTAGGAAAATCAAACAATGTAAGGGGGGTCTTGGTAACAATTTAAAGGGGGCATTTGGGGTTTGTGTGTACTTAAGCTATACTCCAGGGGCATTGGAGTACTTTAATCTCTAACACTAATATTCTTGTATTCTGTTTTAATTTTCATTTGTGGCAGCTAACGGGACAATCAGAAAAGCAGTTGACGACTCCAAAGTGAGCGGGACTCGAGGGGTGGCAATATTAGGCATTCACAGTAGAAGGAACCATACAATTGGTGTAAGTGAAATCGAGCACTTAACAGAATCTGTTATCCGTTGGGCGTCTTGCACGCGTCTCCCGACAGCTACCTCCTCACTTAGGTCTTCGCTTGTTTGTTAAAAATAGCTATATTTTATTTATATCTCTGTATCCATGTATTGAAGCAACTAGTGATTGAGTTAATCTTGTACCTTTGTCGAAATCTTGGACTAATAATGGCGGGGCAAGTTTTCTTAAGGAGGAGAGAGCTCTTGCAAGAAGATGGTATTTTATTTTTATTTTTCCTAACGTTTTGATATTTTTCTTTATACAGAAAAACGTGTTTTAAAAATCTTTGTACAGAATTTGTGGTATGGAGGGTAGTTAAACTGTCTGTTTGGTTATTTTTATTAGTCAGGAGTGAATAGGTCTCATGCCGAGGCAAAACTTTGCTTTTCTTGTTTATTCATTTTGAATGTTGCCTTTTTTTTTTCCACATCAATCCACAATATTAAAACTCAACAATAATGTCTGACAATGCGAAGCCTAAGTAGGGTTAATCTTGCTAAAGCAAAAGCACTACAACATGCCATAATACAGGAAATAACATTACAAATTTCCTTAGAATAGCCAGCTATATTAGCTAAAGAAGCGGAAACTATACAAATACCCTTATTAAATTAAACTCAATTGTTATTTACGCCCTTTATTACTAGTCATCGCCTCTCTTAATTACAAAAATACCCTTTACTATATTTCTTTCTTTTCTCTCTCTAAATTCTCTATCTCTCTAAAACCGAAACTTCAACGACCCGTACGAGCGTCAAAAAAATTCCGAAAAAATGTCGAAAAAATCCTATGGTCTCGGCAAAACGTTCTTCGCTAACAAGGTAATTTTTTTTTTTTATAATTTAAATAATTTTTAATTTTTTTTTCTTAAATCAGGACCCGCGTCCGGCCGGTCGGACCGGACGACCGGTCTTCTTTACCGGTCGCCCATTAGACCGTGCGGCCGGACCGGGCCGCACGGTCGGGTCTCTGTACGTCTTCGGGGGCCGGTCGTACGGTGACCGAACCGGCCCCTCCGGTCGGTTACGAACCGACCGGATGTTTTTTTTTTTTTAAATTATATTATAATTATATAATACAAATAATTATTCTAATAAATATTATAATATAAAAATAATTAAAAAACGTAAAAAAAAACTAAAATAATAATATTTATGAAATAAAAGAAAAAATATTACATTAATAAACAAAAAAATATTATAATATATTTACTCACAAATTAAAAACTAAAAATATTAGCATAATAATAAATATAATAATAATTATAATATAAAAGTGAAAAAATGACATTAAAAAAGTAAAAAATATTATAATATATTTATTTGGATATTAAAAAATTAAAATATTAGCATTTAAATAATAATAATTGTTACTTTATAAAATTAATATATTAACATTTAAAAACATATATGTAATAATTTAAAAAATATGTATATAATTTATT